GAGGAGGGGGAGGAGGAGGAGGGGGAGAGACCTCAGTAACCTCTTTGTACTTTGTTTTTGGTGCAAAGTTTCCTTGTCACCAGAGCAGCAGGGCTGGCTCAGCTGGGACACAGCACCCCATTCTCCACCTCCTTCCAGTTCCTCCACAGGTCTGCCCAGGTATCTGTCTCACAGCCTCCTGGTGCCTGACTCCTATGGGACGGCAGAAATGACCTATATGACCAGTCTCTGTCCCACACCCTGAAGGTGTGCCACGGTGACCTTCTCTCAGTCGCTGGGACCCCACAGAACCTGGGCTGCAGCCCTGAACCCTGCACCAGGGCTCCCTGTGCAGGGCTCCCTGTGCAGGCCTCCGTGGGTGACTTGGGTCATGCTCTGGATCCATATGAAGTCCCCTGCCCAGCAGTGGGGCACGCGTGTCCCGATGGCCCCTGTGGCCCTGCAAGCATGCTGCCCACCGCCCTTTGGATTCTAAGTCACAACCTTCTGGTGTCATTTCATGGGTTTGGCTGAGTCGCCTCCTCTGTATCTGGCCTGAGGTGCACACCTGAGCCTAACCCTACTGCTCAGGAGAGACGGCTTCCTGTGACCCAGCCACGGGTCGGCGCCTCGGCATGCAGCTAAGGGCCAGCTGGAGAGGGCTCCTGTCAAAGGCCCGCTGTGAACCCACGGCCAAGTCCCCTGGGCCCTTGGGAAGGGCGAGAACTTAGTGCCACACAGTGAGAGAGGCCTTCAGACAGACCAGAGCAAAGGCAAAGGCCGACGGCGCGGTCGCGGTGGGAGTTTGCCTTCCTGAGGACATTTGGTGACCTCGGTTTTGTTTTAATCTTTTTTTTTTTTTAACTCCTTGCAAGCAATAGATCCCATCTGATTGTTATCTGTCCCTGGAGGAGCACACAGGTGAGAAAGAGGGTGCAGCCACAGGTCACACCTGAGAGCAAGTCTTCCAGGGCCAGCCGGGAAGAGATGAGACCCCTTCAGAGCCCTCCCCCCATGGAAACCACAGTGGGCAGAATATCCGGCCACACTGGGACACTGGGCACAGGCCAGGAATCATGCTGTCTCAGGCACCATGTCACACCCAACAACACAGAACAAAATTCAGACGTGTGTGAGTCACGCGGCTTTCAGACCGTGGTAAGGAAGGTCACCCAGCCCAGATGGACGCGCATCTGCAGGGCTCACTTGTTGTGGTGCTCCAGGGCCGCTCTGGTGGCCTTCACGAGTTTCCTCAGCTCCTCCCTGGCCTGGTCAATATCCCCTCTCTGCACGGGACTCTTCTCTAGCTCTTTCGCTTCAGCCAGGTAAGTCTGGGAGGGCAAGGCACAGAGAGGGTGAGGCTCACCCAGGAAGGGCAGAGAAGGTCCCTTTGACTTACTGTGCATCCCAGATGCCCTGGGTCAGAACATGGATTCTAGTTAAAATAGGTCCAGCAGGAGGACCCGAGAGATGGGATACTGGGGGAGGACATCCTGGTCAAGTGAACTTGTGGTTAAACGCCTTTGTAAAAGCTATTTTAATGTTTTATTTTCCTAAGAAAGTTTTTAAATGGCAGGGGGTTCCCAGGTTGCTTTGTGTAGGGGGAGGACATGCTGAACAAAGGCCTTTGGTGTGCTGTCACCAGCCCCCGGGCATTTCTTCAGTCAGTGGGGACCATCGTAACTCAGTCAGTGCTGTGCTCAAAGGCAGAGCGGCAGAGACCTTGGCCAGGTTCTCAGGAATAGAAAGATCTAGAGCCTGAAAGCCTGGGAATTCTTTCACCCTGATGTTTGACTCAATGTGGACACAACTGACCCTTTTCTACTCAACCTTGAAAATTAAGGGACAGGCAGCTCAAGGAGGCCTTGCTCAATCCTGAAAGACAAATCCGCACAGCATGAAAGGGCTTGGAGGAGCGGCCACAGAGTGTGAGTGTCCCGCGGAGGAAATCAGAACTGACCTCCTTCTATGCTGCGAGTTTTTATGTGCAAAGAGAGAAACTGCATCTCCTCATTGTGAAAATGCCAGACACAAGTTTTAAACTTCACCAAATTCAAAATGCCAAGACACCAGAGCCACAGTGTGACACTCGGAGATTTTACAAGTGATGGCTGTTCCTGTAGCACAGATTTCCTACTACAACCAACGCACATTCAACCCAACTCTGAGGGACCGCCTAGGAAGCCACCACAGGAGCGACAGCCACTGTGGCTGGGCCAGGCGGGCCGCGTGGCACTCCTTGCAGTACCCAGCAGAACTACTGTGGGTGCTCCGGCGGTCACTGAAGTGGCACCCTTTTAACCTCCCCCACAGTGTCCTCCAACCCCAGTGCCTGGGGAACGCCACCCAGGCTGTGTCCATCTAAAGGAAGCCCATTACCAACAGCATCCTGCAGCTGGTATGGAGCTCTTCCCTAATGAAGGGGCCAGCTGGGGTGAACTGCGTGGGAACACACGGTGCTCCTGCGGTCCTGGATGTTTTCTAGGGCGGTGGAAGGTGGAGCATGCCCAGGCAGGCTCGGTGGGTGTCTCCAGGTGGACAGTTACCTCGTACTGCTCCGTGGGCTGGGAGCACAGGAGTATGGTCATGTAGAGTTCATATTCATCCTGCACACACAGAGACATCCACTGGACATGAGTTAGGAGGCCAGGCTACGGAGCAAGGCTTGTTTCATAAGATATAAACAATACCGAGGTTAAGGATGTCCATTTAGATAATTAAAGAACAAAAGTACATAAAATGCTACAGTGCATTAAATCCTATAGTGCCTTAAATCCTATAGTGCCTTAAATCCTACAGTGTATTAAACCACATGCACTAAAAAGCATAAGGCCTAGTAGTCTTTGAAACAAATTTGAGTCTAAACTACTGAGCATTTCAATATGTATCACAAAACAACATGATCTCGTGCCATACAGAAATCCTGTCCTGCAGCCCGAGGTGAGCTTTCTGGCAACCAGGGCTTCTCTGTAGAACACACCACCACAGCTCTACTGTTGAGCATCCCTACTCATTAGGGATGTTAGAGAACAGCGTGTTCCTGAAGCAAGCCAAGTTCAGCTTGGGTGCCACTGAGGGGCCTTTCATCATGAAGTCACAGCAGTTTTGTCATTACATAAGGGCTCTGTGTAAAATAGCACTTGGGCAATCACAGAAGTTCACGTGCCACGTATGTTGTACTATAATTAATCAGAAAGAATTTGGAAAAACAAACAAGCATGGGTTTAAGAGCTAACTGGGTGCTATGGCCTGGACCTGCAGTCTGGAGTCTCAGGGAAGGGTGTCTCTCTGGAGAATGGGGATCTTCAACAGGGCAGGATTTCTGGGAGGTATGAGATGGTTCATGGATGCAGAACTTCACACATAGTTCTCATAGTTATTGTGAAAAAAAAGTATGTATCTGTTACCTTAACTTCTTTTAAGATGTCGCCAAATATCAAAGAACTGTTGCAAACATCTTCAAACACTTCTCCTAAGACCTGCAGCCTGCTGAGCTCTTGCGGGGGGCACGTGCATATTTTCTGAAGTTTCTGGGGACAAACAGAGGGTCAGGTTGTCTTCTCTGTACTCTCCAAATCGTTTCTCGGGTTGAGGAATCAGAAGGGCACAGCTGCCACCTCCCAGAGCCTGGTCTCAGCAGAGCCGGTGGCCAACCAAGACCCCTGACCTTGCCCGCAGCTGCTGAGGACCTGCCCTGGAGCCTCTCTCTGGTCTGCTCTCGGTTTCCTTTTCCTGCCCCTCCTTGCACCCTGCCTCAGGGGTCCACTGTGCCCCTGCGACACTCAGGCCCAGCCCCCAGCTATTTCACAGGGGGACCCACGGCCTTCCTGCCCTGCTCTCTCCCTCAGGAGAGCTGCCTGAGTCACGATCCCACCCTCCTCCTAGGACAGCCACACCCACCCTCTGCCTGGTCCCTCCCCCTGGCCCCTCACACCCTTCCACTGACGGTGGATCCAGCTGTCCCTGGATCCCGCTGCTGTCCTACAGTGGATGTCCCATCATGGCCACATAGCATCTAATGCTTCGGATTGTGACCTTGCCTCCAGTGTCCCCACGTCCACGTTTAGCCTTCCACTTCACCCGACTGTCAGCATCTGCTGACCCTGTGGATTTTCTCAACGCCTGGAAATGTAAAAGAGCTGACGATGAGCCTCAGCCCGCGGGGTCCTCCTGTCGCAGCCCTGGGTGGACAGCGCTGCAGTGGCCCTTCTTACCTCCTCCAACTTCTTCTCATGGCCCGCTGCCACCTTGGCCCCTGTGAAATCACTCTTCAGTAGATCTTGCTTTGCCAGAACTTGCTTTTGGAAACTCAAGAACTTCTGGTACCTGTCGGCTTTGGTTATGCCGGCCAGGTAGGAGCTGATGTACTGGTACTCGTCCGGGCCTGGCGCCGTCAGGGTGCAGCTGCGGCTGGACCCTGGCTCTCGGCACCTCAGCACCTTCATCTGGGGCAGCCGGAGCTCCTCTCTCCTGCGTCCTTCAGGAAAGCCCGTGCCCCTGTCCGCCTTCTCTCCCTGCCTGGGAGTAGAGTCCTCTCTGCAAGTGTGGGAGGCCCGCGCCTGGGGGTTCAGGTACCTGAACAGCCGCTGGTTTCTGACCTCATCGGGGAGCAGAGCTGTGTTGATGGTAAAATGAGCCCAAGCATCTTTCATCTTGGCGACATTCCTGTCGGGTGGCCTTCCCACTGCAGAAGCCGCTTCCCCCTTTGGCCTGCTGGTGCCGCACCAGGCGGGCAGGTGGGTCTCGGGCGGCCGGTAGAGCCTGCTGGGATTGAGGTGGCCTGAGGTGTAGAGCAAGACGTCTTCCTTGTGCTCTCGCTGCAGTCGGTGCAGAAGCTTCCTGAGGTCGCCCAGCGTCTTCACGCCCGGGGTCTCACAGTGTCTCCACTTGAGGTAGACTGTTCAGGGAGGACAACAAGTCTCACTCTCAGTGCCACGGTGAAACGGCCCTGTGCACGGGCTGAGCTGGCACAGCCCATGCCCCGAAGAGGGGTCTACAGGGAGACAAGGGAAAGTGGCACCTGGCTGCACCCTGCCGTCAAGAAACCTGTGCCCTGACTCAGGAGGGGCAGCAGAGAGCGGCCCGGGGCTGCCAGTTCCAGAGGAGCCTGCCAGGCCAAGAAAGAGGAAGGCAGAGTGTTTTAATTTGACAAAGTATTTCTCATAATATTAGCAAAGGTTCCGGAAGGAAAGGTTAAAAGTCTTATTACAATTCTCAGGATGATGCTTCAAGGTTCTCCTCTAACGTGCTTCACGTGACATGCCAGGAGACACACCAAGAACATGTTTTCCCCTAAAATTCTCAGGACACCTCACCACACTGAGTGACCGAAAGGCCATTCATCCTTCTTCTCCTGATCCCAAAAGTAAAACCCGTGGACATGTGAAAAGTGCCCTGACTCCTTCCACACAGCCCTGCTCCTCACCTGCCCCCTGAGAGGGCTCCGATCAAGAACCTGGCCCAGGACAGAAATCATGGCAAGTCCTAGTTTTTAGCCAATTCCTAACCACATGAGTGCAGAAATAGCAAATGGACTCTCTGAACCTCAGTTTCTTCCTCTGCAAAGTCAAGAGAATCATCTAACTCAATACGGTTGACTAACCTCCCAATGGAATCACTTTGGGTAAAGAAAGACAGAGTAGATGCTCCAGCCTCGAACCCAATCTTGCTAAAGGTCTACGACACTAAACACTCTGACAGACCCTGAGTCGCCCAGATCTGTCCTTCAATGTGTTCCCCCTCAACATGAGGAAAGAGGGCCTTTTTTCTGGAACGCTGTGTAACCTGATGTCCACAGAGGGAGACGGGGGGGGGGGGGGGGCCTCAAACCCACCCCGAACTGGTTTTCCAGCTCTGGGCTTCTCTTCCGAGAAGTCTGTCTCTGTAGCTCTGTCCCTTCTCAGTAAACCTCCTTCTTGCTGCCATCTCTGTGCCCTGCTCTTCAATTCTTTGCTGAACAGAGGCACCGAACCCAGCGCCCCTAGATGGTAGCACCACCACCTTGGAGCACTCTCAGGAGTTGCTAAGAAAATGTTCACTTGCACAGCAAGACTGGGACCTCGGTGCTCCCGCAGCCACGGATGCCAAGCAGGCCCGCTGAGTCCTCGAGGCCACCTGAGCCTGCACAACCTCGTCTCCACCACAAGCCCCCCCTGCAAACGGCTCCTCTCCATTGTGAGGAGGATCAGTGAGCAGCGTGGAGAGGGGCCAGGTCCGGACGAGCACTGTAGGGCAGCCGGTCTCAGACACAGCCTTCGCCCACACAGACCCCTCTGCTCTGTGCCAGGACTGCCCCGAGCAAAGCGGGCAGGCGGGCACATTCTGAGGCCCGAGCTACATGCACCCCACATCTGTGCCCAGTCTAATGGAGATCTTTGCCTGTGAAGTCAGGGTGCACTGTGGTCCCTATTTTCACCCAAGAGAAAAAATGAGGCCAGAAAAAAACACCAGGGGCAGCCACAGATTCCCTGCTGTGTGACAAATGCCCACGGACAGCAGCCTCTGCACCCGAGCGCGGGGCTGAGGCCTGGGCCCTCCATGGGAACATCACGGGGCTGAGACAGGTGTTGGCCGGCTGAGCGCTTGGAGGCTTTGGGGACAGAATCACTTCCAGGCTCACTTTTCTTGTGGCCAGATCCAGTGTCTGTGGTTGAAGGAAGGAGGAAGGTCCCGGGCACTGCCCACATTCCTTGGCTCAGCCTCCTGTCTCTGAGCAGCCACAGCTTCCCACCCACAGCCTCTCACCCTCTTCTGGGACAGCCTCTGAGCTCTGGGAGTCCCAGGATGGGTGCCATCTCTTGAGGCCAGTTGTGCCCCACGATACACAGCAGGGAGCCAAGAGACGATGGAGCTCTTCAAAATTCTGCCCTGCTCCAGGACATGCCCAAGCCAGGGCCCAGCCTCCCCACACTGTCCACTGTCCCCGCTGTGAGGGCCACTAGGGCTGGATATTGGAGCAAATGCTGCCAACCCTGACGGTCTCTGTTGACCAGCACGGTACCTCAAAGACACCATTTATACACATTTTTTAATATTTATTTTTTAGTTGGACACAATACCTTTATTTTTTAAAAAATTTATTTGTATGTGATACTGAGGATTGAACCCAGGGCCTCGCATGTGTTCGACCACTGAGCCCCAGCCCCAGCCCCCAGAGACACCATTTATGAACAGGTCATTTACTAACTAACAGAACAAGGTTTCAATGTCTCACTGTGGTTCTTCAGAGGCACCGACCCACAAGGCAGGGAGACGAGCTACGTCAGGTCCACGGGAAATGGGGAGAGGCCACTTGAATGTACATTATCCTCCCTTCAGTTTATCCAGAAGTTTTCAGAAGGGACTGGAAGCCTTCAGCTAGCTAATCAGCACAGTCACCTTCCTATTAGCACAGGTTTGGAGTCAACTGCAGTAACACTTGGAGGATCCAGATTCCATGGCTCTCTGACAAGTTCCCACACTACTGACCACACGCTCCATCCTGGCCCTGGATGTTACAATACTGTCCTTACTGAAAACATTGTCTTTTGCATACCCTGGACAGCAAAAAATAAAAGTGAGTATTTTACAAATGATCTGAAAACATATAGAGACTTTTTGAATGTGTATTGATTTAGGAAAACACAGTAGTAGGCTTTTGGATAAGGTTTAGATTCATTAAACATTTCCGACAATTTAGCAGCTAACATTTTTAGACAGAGTGTCTTTAGTTTAGAAATTCTGCTTATGCTTCAAGGTGGAGACAAGAGGTCTTGAAAGTCACCATCATTACAGATCGCGGCCTCTGTTGTCTGGCCTCTGTGAACCCTGGGATCCACCGAGATTCTCACTGGTCTCTTCCAAGAATGTCCTCATTCCCTCTACCCTGCACTTAGCAAACACGCTGGGGGCAAGTTAGTGGAAATAATTAAGAGAATTCTGGAGACCGTAACCTCCAGGCCCAGCCAGAGGAGAGCCAAGGAGCCTCAGGGGACAGTGGGCAGTAGGTCCTCTCTTGTGCCCTGAGTGCTCTGAATTCCTTAGAGAATCTGTGCAGGCTGCTTGACCTTTCCCAAATCCCAGACAGCATCAGAACTGTGACCTGGTCACACTCTGCCTTTACACATGGATCTGCAAACATTTTGACAAATCCTCAAGGGAAGGAACTTTATTTGCATTATAATCTTCAGAAAAACTGAACAGCCATTGCTTCATGTAATCAATGTAGAAAAGAAGCACTGTAACATTTTAAGTAATGATAGAAAAACCTACAGGGTGCTGTACACTGCACTGTATGTGTCGGAAAACAAAGTCCTACAGCAGTCCTGCTGGGGGGGGGGACACAGCTGAGAGTGTGGAAGGCAGAAAGCCCCAGCGGGGGGGGGGGGTAAGAATGGCAAACTCAGACTGCAGCGTCACAGAAGGGGACTTTGCAGATTTGATTTAGGTGATGGGCCTTAAAATAGATGGCCCAAGACCATCTGGGCAGGCCCATCCTCATCACACAAGTCCCTAAAAGCAAAGAGTTTTCTCTGGCTGGAGTCACAGGGAGAGTGGGCTAAGAGGGACTTCAGAGATCCCAACAGGAGGGGAAGATGCTGGGCAGAGGGCCCTCCAGGATGGGGAGAAGGCAGCCACTGTGGAGCTGGGGGATGCCACAGTGCGCACGGCCTGGGGGAATTCCTCCCCAGGGTCCAGAGGTGAGCACACCCTACAGTACATTGACGTCAGCAGAGGCCCACCCAGCTCATGCAGACCTGCAGCCACAGAATGCAAATCCTATGCATCGGCGCCATTTGAAGTCACCGTTTGGGGAACTTGATACAGCAGTAGAGGAAAGGAGTACACTGGGACACTGCACAGAAGCCGGGCATGCTGCGTTCACGTCTGGTGTGAGCCACAGACAGCAGAGGGGGGAAGACGTGTGGAACTGGGAATCAGCAAGAGCAAGTTTCACCCCAGGGCCACGGCACGTGGGAGGAGAGAGGCCTCCCAGCCTCCCAAGGTTATGGGAGGAAGGCTGGAGCTTCCTTACTCTTAGGTGAAAGACAAACATGGCCTCTGAGGCTGTAGGCTGCCTTTGACAGCGTGGCTCTAAAGCAGCCCTGGAGGCGGTGACCTTGTGATCCCCTTCACAGGTGAGGATGGGGGCACAGATACTTACATACGGCCCAATGTCCGTCCAGAGGGCAGCTGCCTCCCCAAACTGCCCACCGCTGCACTTCAAAGCTGCAAAGTGCCTTTAATAAAGCTTCCACTGTCCACTCTACTCTTGCCTCTGCGTGCTTCTCCGGTGTTATGCTTCAGCATTTGGGGAAGCAAGGACTCGTCACCGGTAAACAGTGGTAACAGACTGGGCCACGCTCAGGTTGGTGACATACACAGGGAGTGTCCTGCAGTCTAGAACTAGCATCTAGAAGTCTGCCCCTCCAGCCCCTCCTCCCAGACAGGGCCAGATTGCCTGCACACACACACACACACACACACACACACACACACACTCACACACACACTCACAGGCACCCCACACATCTGCCTCTCTCGGCCTGTCATTCTGGGATCTGAGAAGACAACACATCCCGACACCAGTGTTCCTGGAGCTGATTTGCAGCCACAAGAGAGACTTCACTTTTCAAAACAGACTCAGAGAAACTGGTTCCTAGGTACACCTCAGACAAACGTCAGAAGCCAAACACAAATGCCTGATGTCCACTTACATTCTGGCTCCAAATCCTTAGCCATGGCCTCCCTCACCAGTGTGGCCTCTGAGGCCCTGGGGTTGCTATGGGACCATCAACATTCCAGGCCCCGCCCCCGCTGTGTAGCTCAGCTGCCAGCCACAGGGTGCCTGCCAGATCCCCCACTCCTCCCCCGCTGTGATTCTGACTTCAATGGGGACACCAGGTATTTGCTGGTCTGCCTGGCTTTTTAAAATGAAACCATCAAAAATGTACTTGCACTCTTCAATGCCTCCCCCAAACCTGGAGTAGGCCAGGAAACTGGTTGCTGTTTGGACTCCAACCCCTCCACTACACCCAGAATTCTAGTGCAGTGTGGGTTTGGGGGCTTCATGGTCAGGGGGTGTCACTATGTGGTGTTGTTTCAGTCAGATTTTTGCTGCGGTGACCAAAAGATCTGACAAGAACAATATAGATGAGGAAAGTTTTTTGGGGAGCCCACGGTTTCAGAGGTCTCAGTCCACAGGAGGATGGCTCCATTCCTTGGGGTTCCAGGTGAGGCAGAACATCATGGCAGAGGAGTATGGTGGAGGAAGGTAGCTCGGGACATCACACATTGCCCCAGGAAGCAGACAGAGCGCCTCTCATTGCACAAAATATAAACCCCAAATCACACCCCAGTGATCCCCCTCCCCCAGCCACACCCCACCTGCTACAGGTACCACCCAGTGAATCCCTATCAGGTTTCAGTTCCCTGACGGGGTTAATTCTCTCAGAACCCAATCATTTCACCTCCAAACCTTTGTGCACTATGTCACAGATGAGCTTTTGAGGGACACCTCACATCTAAACCATGGCAAGCATGACTTCCCATGGAGTCCGGGCAGGGAATTGAGTTCCCTGGTGAAGCGACCTGCAGGATCAGTTAACCGGGAGGGAAGGTCCATGTTCCCGGCAAAGTGCGTGCTTTCCCTCAGGTCCACCAGTGTCGTGGAAGAGGGGACAAGAAGCTCCTCTCCACACTGGGAGAAGTGTGACTTTAGTAAATATTTCTCAGCCGGGAAGAATTGGTTTACAGCCAGGTGGCGACTCCGTTTGCTCTTGGAAGTCACTAGGGCCAGCCGGCGCATGGCTGTGCTGAGGAGTGGTGAGCCCCAGAGCTGGGAGCAGAGTCGGCGGCGCTGGGCAAATCCGGGCACAGGGTTCTTCCCTTTGCCTTGTGTCCTTAGTGCTGCTCGGGAGAACGTTCGGGAAACCATGAAGCCATGTGACCACCACCTGCTCACAGTGCAAGTCAGGTGTCATTCAACTGGTGGGAAAAGCAGACCCCAGGCTCCTTTCTCTCCAGTGCCTGCCCAGGTTGGCTCCCACCCCTGGAAATGCTGGTCCGCCAAGACCCATTCGCACGGGGGCATCTAAGTTTGGGCCTGGGGTGACCCCTGCAGCCCACTGTCAGCTAATTACCGAGGAGGGCCCCGTCCGAGCTCCGTGTTGCATACTTTGAGTTAATATTTGTGATTTAGCCAGCTGCTGCCCCGCGTGCCGCCGCCCCGCCCCGTGCGCGTGGGTCACAGAAAGGGACCCTCTGTGAGCCCCTCCTGTCGGTGGCCCAGGCGAGCTGCTGCCCTCGGGGTTCAGCCTGTGTCTTGGCACAAAGCAGGACTGGGCTGATTTGACTGCAAGCCCTGGTTGGGGGAAGAAAGGACACAATGGTTTTCAGGGCCTGCTTTTCTCCCCGTCGCCCTCCCTCGCATGCGGTTAGACTGGCCATCCCTCCCCTGGGGCCCTCCAGAGAGCCCCTGGTCAGGGAACATCGGGCGCCCACCCCTGCAGCCCCCCCCGCTGCTCCTGGTGCATCGTCGTGTTGGCGGCAGAAGCGCACTTCTTTTTTTTTTTAAATTTTTTTTTTTATTGGTTGTTCACAACATTACAAAGCTCTTGACATATCATATTTCATACATTAGATTGAAGTGGGTTACGAACTCCCAATTTTACCCCAAATGCAGATTGCAGAATCACGTCGGTTACACATCCACAATTTTACATAATGCCCAATTAGTAATTGTTGTATTCTGCTACCTTTCCGATCCGCCAGCGCCACCAGACCTTCCCTGAGGCCAGACTGAGGCTGCGCTGTGGCCTCTAGGGGCGCGGGAAGCCGGCCTCCCCCAGCCCCGCTCCTGTCGGAAGGGCAACTGGTCCTGCTGAGAGTCTCCTGTTACCGCTTCTCCAGCCACTAGAGTTCGCTGGGCGCCAGCAAAGAGCTTAAGAGAGAGCCCCTAGCATGGGAGGAAATGGTGGCCAGCTACTCCTCCCAAGGGGGCTAGTGTCCAGACCTATAAAGAACTCAAAAAGCTTACCACCAAATAACATAAGATAAAATAATAAAATAAAAATCAAATGATTAAAAATAAAATAACCTGATCAATAAATTGGCCAAAGAACTAAACTGACATTTCTCAAAAGAAGAAACACAAATGGCAACAAATATATAAAAATATGTTCAACATCCCTGGCCATCAGGGAAATGCAGAGCAAAACAACACTGAGATTTCACTTCACTCTAGCCAGAATAGCAATTATCAAGAATAAAAATAATAACAAATGTTGGAGAGGATGCGGGGGAAACTCACGTATTGCTGGTGAGACTGAAAATTAGTACAAACACTCTGGAAAGCAGTGTGGAGGGTCCTCAAAAAACCTGGAATGGAACTAACTGCTTACTATATGACCCAGCAACCCCATTCTTCGATATTTATCAGCATACAGTAGGAATATAGGCACATCAATGTTTGTAGTAGTCAAGTCACAATATTCAAACTATGGAACCAGTCCAGGGTGCCTGTCGACAAATGAATGGAGTAAGAAAATGTGGTGTACGTATATACACCACGGAGTGTCACTCAGTTATAAAGAAGAATGAAATTATGGCATTTGCCAGTAAATGGGTGGAAATGAAGAACAGCATGTCAAGTGAAATAAGCCATATGCAAAAGCTAGAGCAAAATAAGGGTCCCCCCTTATTTTAGGTGGATATCACAAGATATAAGGAGTAAGAGATCTAGAAGGAAAGAGGAGAGATGGGAACAGGGAGGGAATACAGAATGAATTCACCAAAACCACTCTATGTGCATGCCTAAATATACCACAGTCTTCTACCTTTATGTAGAACTATAGCCCCAACCAAAGATATATGAGTGAGAGGAAGTAGAGTAGAGGAAGGGTGATAGGTGGGGGAGAGGGGGAGAAAGGGGAGGGCACTGGGGTCTGAAATGGGGTGAATAAAACCCCATGCACTATGATTTTGTCACAATGAACCCAATAGTGTGCATAACCATAATGCTCTACTAAATGAAAACACAAACACAAAAAGGAATTTGTTGAACAAATGAACACATTTTCCACGTTTTTTTGGGTGTTGGGCCTGGAAGACAGGACCTGGCACATGCTAGACAAACGCTCCACTCCTGAGCTACATTGCCAGCCCTGCAAAAACTTTTTAAAACATCTTTATGCTTTGTAAGTTCTGGAAACAGAATGCTGTGTTTAGAAAATCTCAGACAGAATGGAAATCCAAATTCTCTGGACTGGCAGGAGGAAGGAGGAATGGGTGAGGAGGGATTCCAGTCTGGTCGTGACACGACAAGGAGTCCTGGAAAATTCTAGGAAGAGCTAAGGTAGCATCAGTCCCCATGGTGGACCCATGACTCTGCTGCTACTGTTGCCCAGGACAGGTGGGGCGAGGTGAATGCTAATGAGGGTCCCCCTTCTGTGCAGGTAAGCAGTTTCCGCCCACCCAGACCTCACCAGTCTTCTCCCTCCGCGCTAGCTTCCCCCCAGCCCCATTCTTCCAGATGCAGGGCAAGGAAAGTCTGCATCCACCCAAGGCCCAAAGTAACCCAGGTTCTTGAACCCCTTGCCCTCTCTCTCTGTCTTGAGCCTCTCCCCCTCTCCGTCTCCCTCTCCCTCTCATCATCAATCTTTGTGGGTTTTTTTTTTTTGTATAAGAACATATCCATCAGCAAACAAATGTGCTTTTGTTTTCTCATCTTCAAAACACGTAAAACAAAGCCCGAGTTGACTCCATCTCTAACATCTCTCTGAAGCATTTTGCTCAACACAAAGGATTCTGGCCCAAGGTCTGGAGGGTAGCTCAGTGGTAGAGCACGGGCCTTGGGTTCCATCCCTCGTCCTCCCCCACCCCCCAAAAAAGAAAGAAAAATATTTTGTCCTAAATGTACCATGTGGACAGCATCTAAGCATGTGGTCTGTCTGCAAGGAGGACAAAGGCCAAGTTCATTGTCCTGTCTGTCCCCACGGGATGGGGCTTCCTATGCTGCACCTGCCCATAGGTGAGCCATTTCCACATACCTCAGACCTTCTCAGATGTGGCCTATATTTGACTCTTAAGATGATTTTCTGCAAATAACTTTAAGTGATATTTGAGGATGAAATAACCATAAGATTCAAAAAGTTTAAAAGATGGATAAAATATGCAAAGAACTTCCCTTGGAATTTTCTGCTCTCTACCCACTTCCCAAGTCACCTCTTCCTCCATAAGAGTAAAGCAGATCACCACCCATGCATGTCCATGAAGGCCACACTAAAGTGTCCACTCTCTGGGAAAATTATCACCCAATGCCCTGGGGCCTGAATACAACAGGAGGAGGTGCCAGAGTTGGTTCTCTCTGCCTGACTATGGAGTTGAGAGCTGTTCTCCTGCCTGCCTCAGGCTGAGACCTACACCCTAGCTTCTCAGGCCTTAGCCCCTGGTTTACACCATTGGCTCTAAGGTCTCAAAACTGAGCCTACACCACCAGCTTCCCGGGGTCTCTAGTTCACAGATGGCGAGTCACATCACGGATGTCTCAGTCTTTGCATCCTGTGAGCCAAATCCTTACCAATTCTTTCTTTTCTCCCACCTCCCCCAGCCCTGTATGCACAGGTTGGTTCTGTTTCTGTAGAACCCAAACACACCTGCAGATGAGGTGGGCCTATGTATTTTAATGGGGCATTAAATCATTGAACAGGTAGAGCATTTTTCTTCTGAAAGAAAAGCAACTTCCAAATTTAGCAACTCCCTTAGTGAGGAGAATTAGCCATGGATCACAGCACCTCGCTGTGGTTCAGGATGCTGTAGGGTACATCCTCACCTCTTAACTCTGGAGTAAATTCTGGGTCACTTTCAGTCTATTGCACAGGGATGGTCCCACTGGATCCTCACAAGGTCCAAGAGATTTCTTTATCTCTCAGCTGTTAGGGTGAGACCCAGAATATGCCATCTCAGAACACCAAATGCACATTTTGCTGGCCCTGAATGCAAATGGGAAAAAGCGTAACCATTTTCTAAGAGAGTATTGAATTTGCTGATGTCCTTAAGTGTCTATAGCAGGAAGCCTAACTCAGTCCTGATCAGGAAAATTCTGCGGGCTGCGCTGCTCCACCTCCTGAACTCACTCAAGCTGCAGGTCAATCGAAGCTTCCTACATACACTTTCCTCCCCTGAGTCCTAGGACAACTGGGGTGCTGGGAGGGAGCTTCAATGTGGGCCCTACCCTGCTGGTGGACCTGGCCTCTGCTAGGTCCCATCTGTCCCAGTGACGTTCCCCAAGTCTCTGTGCTTTTCAGGGGTGGTGCTTACTGATGTGATGTGAATCCATATGATCTCCCACCACATGACCTGTGTGCTCTCCTGAGCTATGTCCCCATGTCATGGCCACAAGATCAGCCTGGAGAATCTGGCCACCTCCTGCCTAGCTTTGCCTATTGTCATGGTGGCTCAGAGGTGGAACTTCAACTGTGGGATCTCTAGCAGATCCTGGGGTTTTCTACCTGCCCCCAGCTGTCCCTGTGGTTCTCACCTTGAACCTCCTTTGGGAGAGGGCACACTGACCCCTCCAGTTGCTTTCTTCCTCCTGCGCCTTTCTTCTCCAGTTCAGGCAGCCTTCAATAGTAGGGAATTTAAAAGTCTTCTGAAAATATCTTGCTTAAAACCAGATTACTGGCTAATACGTACCCAGAAACGCTTTCCTCTCAAGTTTGCATCTACTGTGAATTTTCAAATCTCATTTTCTTTTCTTTTCTTTTCTTTTCTTTTCTTTTCTTTTCTTTTTTTTTTTTTTTTTTTT